CGACGGGCCACTTTTCGCGCGCCATTGCCGACATCTCACCTTCCAAAGCTGAAAAGAACGATTGGCGCGTGCGCTAGCAGCGCGGGCACTGTCAATCGCAACGTCCAAATTTTGCCGAAGATAGCAGCGATTATTGACCAAGCGCGCGAGCTTGGTAATCTACAGTTGCAACCGAAAAGGAGCTTCCTCACTGTGGCAGGCCGTAGATGAGAAGCTAGTCCCCGAGGTCGAGTCGCTCGTCTCCGGGGAAGTGCCCCAGTGGGAAGACATCCAGCTCCAGGATGTTGGCGAGGGCGCGGGGGCCCAGCGGGGCCCTGGCGCAGCCCCCGAAGCCCCATGGATTGTCCCTGCGGGGAGACGGTGGCATCGCGATGTGCTTAATGGACAGTCTTCCGCCTCTGTCGACGTCAACGCGCGGCTCAACGACGCCGGCTGCCTCCGCGCGCCCCCGTGCCTCGCGCAGTGCCACCCGTCCCACCATAATGTCGCCATGAAGGAGTTCCGCGCAAGTGCTCCGCCGACCATCATCGCCGGCCAGGCGATCGGACTCATTCTCCTTGGGCGCCAGGCCCCCGACCACTGCGGCCAAGTCGACGTGCGATGCGGCGGCGGGGCCGATCTGGGCAATGGCAGAGTTCGCGATCCCTGACTGGCTCGACGCCTGCGAGAGGCCCGGGAAGCAACCCATCGAGAGCATCGGGCTGCCCGCCTTGGCCGCCGACGAATCGAGCCCGCACTTCTGGCGCGCCCAGGAGCCCATCGCACTGCGCTACTTCTCGGTGGCCAACGACAAGCCGATCGGCGCCCCTGCCAGACTGCATCGCGATTTTTACAGTGTGTGCTGCCACCGCGATGCGCGCGGCGGCGGCCTCGCGGGTCGCTGTCGGCGCCCGCATCCCCAGCGGTTCTTCGCGCGTGCCCTGCCAGCGATATGATTTCCTTACAAATTCCACCTCGCCATCCAGATGCGGCTGACGGCCCTGGGTCGGTGCTCATGCTGTACCTGACGACGAACTTGAATGGTGGCAAGCGATTAAGTTAGCGCCGATGAAGGCGCCCCCTGCGGGGCGCTGGGCCCTGGCCCGCGCCCCGCAGGGGGTGGCGCGCGAGTTGTCGCGCGCGTGCTTACTGTCCTGCGCCCGCGCGCGCGGGGCCGCCTGGGCGCCGAGGGCGAGTTCGGCCACCACTTGAATTGCCCAAGGCCCTTGCACTGGTCTGCCCTTCTGCGACGGCACCTCCGCGGCGTCGCACCGGGGCGGATCGCCCTGGGCCGCGCCGAGGGCTGCGCCGAGGAGGGGGCCGAGCGTTCGATGGCCGCCGCCGCCAGCTCCATTGTGATCGCCTACTACCATTCCCCTTCATCGAGATCAAGCTGATCTTCTCGCCCGACTGCGGCAAGCATCGGTTCGCACACCTCGCCGCCAAGAACAGGCTCCGGTCGCGAGCCCGCCCAGGCCCGCCCCGCCCCGCGGAGGCGCCGCGCAAACCCGCCGCAGCCGCGGTCGCTCTTCTCCCCCCATTATGTTTCTCTTCCGCCACCTCCTCCTCTTCCTTCTCCGCCACCTCGCGTTCCTCATCCTCCTCATCTTCTTCCTTTATTTCCTCCTCCTCATCCTGCTTTTCCTCCTCCTCCGCCCCCCCCCCGCCCCCCCTCCGTCTTTGCCATCCCCCTTGTCTTCATCCCCCCCCTCTCGTTCGTCCTCCTCCTAATCGTCCTCCTGAGCATCCTCTTCCTATCCCTTTTATCTCCCCTCTTCCTCCTCCTTTTCCTCCTCCACTTGACAAACCTGTGGGCATGTTCCGCCTCCGACTCCTTTCCTCCTCCTCTTCTTCCGCCCCCTCCTCAACCTCCTCCCCCTCGTTGTCATCCTCTCCTCGTTATGATCGCATGTTCCTCTTCTTCCTCCTCTTCCTCGATCCCCTCCTTTTTTTGTTGGTTCTCTCTCTCTCTCTCTCTCTCTTTCTCTTCTTCCACCTCCTCCTCCTCCTCGTCAGTTCGTGGGCGATGCCATGCAGTGCGTGGTCAACGAGGAGGAGATTGCTCGCGGTTTGTTCCGTATGCTTCTGATGGCGTGGTCCGCGGCGCACAGCGAAGCGTTTCGGCGTCGCGCGCTCGCGCGCCCACTACGCGACGACGACGGGCTCGCAGAAACAAGCGATAAGCGCCGCTGTGACCATCGACCGCGCGCGCCAGGAGCGCCAGAGACAACGCGGCGGTGACGACGACGCATGGTGGTTGAATTTCTATGCGATGCTCTCCCCCGACAGCCGGATGGCAGACACGCAGCTGGCGCGGCCGCCTTTGCGCGAATTGCTGGAAGGGGTCCGCTGGAGGCGGTGAAGAACGCCCCTGGCCGTTTCGAGAAGTTCGAGAAGTCGACGGCGACGGGGGCCGATGTGCTTGCCGAGGAGCAAGGGGGAAGTCCGACAGAAGAAGATTGGCGGGCCGCGCCCCCCGTGGCCCGATGCCAGGCGCGGGCGGCCCTGCTGGAACTGCCCAGAAGAGAGCAGCCAGGCGATTCCGCCCATTGCCACTGCGCGAGCGGCCCCGAGCTGCCAGCCCGACACCCGCGCGGACGATTCTTCTGCCCAACCCCCTCGCGCTGGCCCATGCCCCGCCCGATGCCAAGCGCGGACGGTTGCCCGACATCGGCCCGATGCCAACCGCGGGCGTTGTTCTTTCCTCTGCTCGTCGCGCCAGCCCCGATGCCAAGTGCGGGCAGCTGTTTTGTCCACCGTCGGTCGTTTCGACAGCCGTTGCGCGCGCCGCCCCCATGACGGGTGCTCGATAGTTTCCAGTTTACTCCGGCCGTCGGCGGATCTCAAAGGAAGGCCCTTCCATCGCCTTCAACCATGTTCGTGCTTCCGCCTTCTTCACCTTCGCCCACTCCACTTATCCTTCCTCGCCGCCTTCCTTACTCAATCCTGGCATTTTCCGCCTGTCCCCAAACCGCTGCGAAAGTTATGGTCGCACACTGCCTGTCAGTTGTAATCCCCTTTTCGTTGACCATCACTGATGTCGTCACCGTCGCCCTGGTCGCAACCGTCGTCTTTTCGGACTCGCGATCGAACCCGTAGAGTCACAGACAAACACTCCCAGCGAGACGCGCCAAGGAATTGCGGTGCGCACGAGGGGGTATCCGCGACGAGCAGTTCGTTCGTTCCGCCTGCGGGCCTAGGAGGCCCCGCCCGTGCCCGACCCAAGTTCGTCTGCCCCCGGGCCCGAACGGCGGCCCCCACACCGAAATCGAGGGGGCGGGGGGGCAAGGACTGAACAAAAGTTCGTCGTCAAAGATCTGGGCTTCTCGCCACTGAACGTTCCTGGCCGTTGTTCCGGGGAGAAAAGTCGAGGAGAGAGGGGGGGGGATGAGGGAGAGGAGGGAGGAGGAGGAGGAGGAGGAGGAGGAGGAGGAGGAGGAAGAGGAAGAAGAAGAAGAAGAGGAGGAGGAGGAGGAGGAGGAGGTGGAGGATGACCAGTGTACACCCAAGACCCAGCAACGATGTTGGAATCACCCCGCCTCCAAGTTCCCTCTTCATAGGTCCCTGTGATGATTCATCTCCAATGACGGAAGTGCCCCGTTGGGACACATCCGTTTGAAGACCCTGAAGCGTGCCAGAACACCCACTGACGGAACTCCAGCGCCACGAATCAACGTGTCTGTTGCGTTTTTGACGATCCGGAATCGTGCCAGCAAATTCCTGAGCCGTCAACATCGCCAATCAACGAAATTGTGGCGCCTTGACATTTCCGGATCGCTGCAGAACACAATATGTACGACGTTGACCATGGGAGTCCGCGAACTGTTTGCAAACTTTTAAAACGAAGAGAAACCTCCCTAATCTATGACGCTTCCCAATTCAATACGACTGCGCGCGGCGCTAAGGCGAAAATCATAATGAAAACGGCCCGCCCAGCATTCCTTGAAATGCTTGCGAAGTTTCAAAGGAATGTGCGCGGCGCTGAGGCGTGAGCCACATGCTGACAGCCAGCCGCTCTCAATCCTTGAAACCTTCTCTGCAACGATTGAAACGAATGCGCGCGGCGCTATGCCGAGAACCATCTTGAAAACGGCCCGCCCTCCATTTATGAAATTCCTGCACATGTTTCAACGAATGCGCGCGGCGCTAAGGCGTGAGCCACATTTTGAAAACGGACCGCCCGCAATCCGCGAAACCTTTTTTTGCAACGTTGGAAACAATACGCGCGTCGCTATGGCGAGAGCCACATTGTACAAACGGCCCGTCCTCCATCTGTGAAACCCTTTTGCAAATTTTTCAACGAATGTGCGCGGCGCTGGGGCGTGAGCCACTTTTTCAAAGCGGACCACCCGCAATCCGTAATTGCTTTTTTTTGCAAGTTTAAAGAATGCGCGCGGCGCTATGGCGAGAACCACATGTCTAAAATGGCCCGCCCACCATGTGTGAAGTCTTTGCAAATTGTGCAACGAATGCGGCGGCGCTAGGGCGTGAGCCACATTTGGAAAGCGGACCGCTTCAATCCTTGAAAACTTTTGCAACATTTAAAACGAATGCGCTCGGCGCTATGGCGAGAGCCAATTGTTGAAAACTGCCCGCCCTCCATCTGCGAAATCCTTGCAAATTTTACGACGAGTGCGCGCGGCGCTAAGGCGTGAACCACATTTTGCAAGCGGTCCGCCCTCCATCTGTGAAACTGTTGTCATTGTTTAAGCTTCAGGGTCATGAGCGGCGAGGAAGTTTCAGGCGAAACGCCAGACCCGCCCTTTCGACCTGCTCCAGGGCGCAACAGGGAGGAGCTATTGAGAAGGAAGAGGCACGCAGGAAAAGGAGGAGGAGGAGGAAAAGCAGGAGGAGGAGGAGGAGGACGGGAAGGAGGAGGAGGAGGAGCAGCAGCAGCGCCAGGAGCAGGAGGAGGACGGGAAGGGACCTGCGGGGGGGACGGAGCGGGGGGGATACCCGGGGGGGGGGGGAGCGTGCCGCCCCCGCCTGGTCTTGCCAGGCGCCGCCCGGGCCGCGCCGAGATGGCCGCCCCCCCGCCGAGGGCCGGGGCGCCCGCGCCGCAGGGGGGCTTCGAGGGGCTCCTGGCGGAGCTCGGCTCGCTGGGGGCGCGCCTGCTGGAGCAGCACAGGCCCCCCTTGTGGCGCGGGGCCCCGGCCCCCCGACGGCGTCCGCCACGGAGCGAGCGGAGCTGCAGCCGGGGGCGGAAAAGAGGGGGGTGATGACTAGGGGGGGGGGATATCATGGCGGGGGGCATGATATTTCCCCAGATTTCATGGCGCCTCTTCGTGTTTCAATACGTCCCTGGCCCCCCCGCTGGGCCGCGCACACGCCGCCGGTCATGATTTGCACCCCCCCCCCTCTTGGACACCCCCCCTCTTGGCCGCTCCCGATGCAGCAAGCCCACGAGCTCCAGAGCCAACCTCCGACCTTCTGCCGAGCAGGCCCCCGAGCAGGGAGCCCCCCGAGCAGGGACCGAGCAAGCCCCCGAACGGGAGGCGAACAAGCCTCCGGACTCCTGCCGAGCAAACCTCCGGACCTCCCCAGAGAGGCTTGTCGGGGCGGCCTGGAGCGAGCGGGTCTTGAGGGGAGCTGGTCATGAGGTCTTCGGCCGCTGCCGGGAAGTCGGGACCCTCCACGGGCGCTGGGTCTGTGAGAAGCGAGGCGGGCTGAAAACTCGGTCCTGGGGGAGGGGGGGCAGGGTCCAGGACCCGTTTCCCTCGGCACCCGTTTGTCTCATGCCAAGATGTCGTTGTCGTTGTTGTTGTTGTTGCTGTTGTTGAACATTATTTCTTCTTAAAAATAATTATTGTTGGGACCCCTGGTGCGCGCCCCCCCCGCCGCGCCTAGGCCGCAGCCACGTTTTCATCATTTTCGTGAGGAAGCCTCAGGCAAAACGATGTGATCCAGATCCGGTTGTTTTGTTGACGCCCGCTTTCCCTTGCAAAAAATAAGGTAAAGTGGACATTTCTTGTTCTAACATAATCAAACTTCAAGAACCCTTGCAAAAAATAAGGTAAAGTGGACATTCGCGCGCGCAAGACGAAATCCTTCCAAAACCTTAGTTTTCGTAGCGATTTTAACATAAAAACATCAAAAAACCAATGGTTTTTCAAAAAAAATTGTCAAAATCTCATCCCGCGCGCTCTTGCGGATTCGTAGGAAACCCAACACTTTTTAAACATTTCTGTCAAACGGGCTTTTGCGAGCAACTTTTTCGAACTTCTGCAACAACGGTTGCGCACCTGCCAGGGCCATCATCCCTGTCAAATAATACCATGCGGGACACATTCGTTTTTTCTTCGCGCGCGCACGCCGTCGTCGTCGGCCGCGGGGCCCTGAATAGTAGCCACGGTCGTCCGCATGCCACGAAGTGAAGTGTCCGAACGTCATAGGGCGGGAAGCTGGGTGTGGGTGGTGGCGAAGAGTCGTTTGGAAATTTGGTAGAGCTTGAACCGGCCCCCCCACAAAGTGGGGGTATTGCCCGCCTCCTATGAAAACCCTGGCACTGGTGAGAACGGAGTGTCCCCACGTGCTAGTAATTGTTGTTGTTGTTGTTGTTGTTGTTGTTGTTGTTGGTGTTGTTGATGTTGATGTTGTTGTTGTTGTTGTTGCTGTTGCTGTTGTTGCTGCTGTTGCTGTTGTTGTTGTTGTGGTTTTTGCCGCTGTTGATCCCAATCCGCCGCCCCAGGGGTCCCGACCGCTTCGCCGGGCATTTCCGGGTTTCTTGTGTTTCGCTTTGCATTGCTTGCCCAAGGGCGCTGCGTTACGGCGGTCGCGCGCTCTCTCCCTCTCTCTATCTCTCTGTTTCTTCCTGGTTACCTTATAGTTCGTCCTGTACGCGCACCAGCCACATGGTCTGATGGCTGTTTGCGTCCGCGTTGCAGGTTGAGAGAAACGGTCCCGAGCGCCTTCCAGGGGGTAGTTCATCTTGAAACCCTCTTCGATGGTCAAGGGGGCGGCCCCCAGAGGCCAGAATAAAGGGTAAGCGCCTCGGCTTATCAAACAAGAATAGGTTAGTCAGCGCTGACCCCAAACAGTATGCATTGCGTTGTGCATGTGTAAGCTACGTGGTGCAACTATGTGGTGTAAGCTACGTGGTACGACCTACGTAGTGCAAGCTACAATTTACCATATACGTGAGTATGCCTGGTGCAGGCGCTGTGGTTTCAAGCCATGTTGTGCAAGCTATGTAGTGAAAGCCGAGTATGTGGTGCAAGCTATGTGGCGTACTATATGCTGTGCAACTTACGTGTTGCAATCCACTTGGTGGAAGCTATGTGGTGTAAGCTATGACATGTAAACCATGTGGCACAAGCTATGTGGTGCACGCAATATGGTGCAATCTACATGGCGCAATTAATTAACCGGGTCAATAATGAAATGTCAACTCCATTGCTCCGCAAACAGGCCACCTTCCCACCCGCAGTTGTGTCATTCAGTTTCCTGAACACACTCGGCCGCAATTACGATGACTGCTTGGCACTGGCTGGCGCATGTCTCCCGCCGCGCTGGCGCGTGCATCCTTGCGCGCAGAGCGGCCAGTCGGTTTGGCATAAATGATGCGGCCGCGATGGCGCTTACCAATCGGAACTTCCCAGCGCGTCGCAATGACCGCGCTAGCGCGCGGGCACTTCAGTGCGGATCGATGACTCGGGCGGGCGCGATGTCATGATGACGCCGACAACGCCGGCAACGATGATGATAGTGGTGATGGTGGTGGCAATGATAACGATGACGGCGGCAAGGCTAATAATCGCGACGTTGGTGACGACGATGACGATGATGATGTCCACGTGTCGGTGGTGAAGGTGATTGACTGAAGCTGGCGCGATGGCGGCGGGTGACGATGACGATGACGTTGATGAGGGTGGTGGTGGTGGTGGAGCCTCAGGCACCCTCTAAGAGGCCCGCTCCCACATCGCAAAAAGCCGTTCCACAAACGTGCGCCCAAAACAGACGTACCTGGAGGGTTGATTCAATCCGATCGATTCGATGCGCCCCGCCGATGCTTGCACGCTGTGGTCGTGTACCCCAGCGCCGTCGATTCGATCCGATCTCGGCTCCGTGCCGACGCTGCAGGCCCACTGGAGCCCAGGTCTCGGCGCACGAAGCGGCTGGCACCGAGGCTCCCCCGACGCCCCACCCCGGGGGCGTGCCGCTCTCGCGGTGTGCCCGGCCTCTCCGGGCGCGCCCCCCTTCCTTGGCGCGCCTCGCGCGCCGCCCCGCAGGCGGGAGCTCGACGCCCAGCGGCACGAGAGCGAGGCGGGGAGGGGCTCCGCGTGGCCCTCCGTGGCGGGGTCCGAGGCCTGCCCCGAGGAGGCCCCCGCCCGAGCGAGCTCCGTCTCCGAGGGCCGGGGCCGGACGCCGGCGGTGGAGCACTTCGAGTCGCTGGCGACGTTCAGGATCAGACAGTGGCGAAGCGTCCTGGCTTGCCTAAAGCCCTACCAAACGATGTTCTAAGAACCGGTTGGGGTTTCCAGGACATGTTCTTAGAGCAGTTCTGGTTGAGATGGTCGTGTTTTAACACGTCGGGCTTACGTTCTAAGAACACTGTTTTTTCCTTGGGACCTTTCGGGATTCTAAGAACATTTCGTGGTAGGACTATAGGAATGCCGGAACGGTCGGTCCCTGCGCAACAGGGCAGAGCAGGCGCCGACGTGGAACACGATGTCGAACTCGAAGTCGGCCCAGGCGAGCTACACGGTCCTGGAGAGCTGGGTGAGCGCCGTGCCGATCTCGCAGCTCGCCGCGGTGGGCCCCCAGGCGGCGGGGCCCGAGCGGCAGAAGAAGGCGAGCGTGGCCCTGAAGAAGACGGGTTCGGCCCTCTCGCTGACAGTCTCGAAGATGTCCTTCAGATCGGCGAGGTCGAAAAGTTTCGAGGACATGCATGATGCATTCGTGTTCAAGTCGGACGGGTTCCTCTCAAAGTGGCTCATGGTGCATCCTTCGCTGTGGCTGGCGACCCTCTGGAGCTTTCTGAGCCTTCTGCTGATTGCCTACGACACGGTAACCGTGCCCATATACAACTTCTACAGGTTCGATTACGTCCCAGGGACAATTCTATTATTTGATTGGTTCGCTCGAATCTTCTGGACCCTCGACATCCTACTGGCCCTTGTGACTGGCTTCCACAAGGAGGGGTACATCGAGATGAGGCCCAAGCTTGTGGCGTTGGCGTACCTTCAGTCCTGGCTGTTGTTCGACCTCTTACTCGTGGTGTCAGACTGGCTCGCCGTCGCCCTGAAGAACAACACCACACTGATGACGGTACCAGCCCTGAGAGCGCTACGATTAATGCGTGTGTTCCGCTTGTTGAGGCTCGGCCGTCTCTCGCACACGATCAACGAGATCCTGTTGTTCGTTTCCGACGGCGTCGCGATCGTCGTCAGCGTCTTAAAATTGTCCATCGGGCTTTGCATCGGCATTCACCTCGTCGCCTGCATGTGGTACGGTGTGGGCGACAGCAGTCGTTCCGGATGGACCTCCAACGAGGCACTCTTGGAGTCCGCAGCATTCTCCGAACAGTATCTGGGTGCCTGCGGCAACTTCCGTAACCGTGCCAGCACAGCGCTCGTTGGAGCGCCCTTTCGAGAGTCGCCAATTTGGCCATAACACGTGACGTCTTCTGGTTCCCAGGCTGCAGAGGGCCGCAACATAGGGTACACTCGACCACGGGCGCCAGAAAGCCGTAGTTTGTCGTGGGTGTCTTCTTCAGGGGCCCCAGAGCTGTAACATGTGACATATCTCTTGCCCAGATCCCAAGTGGCAGTAACACGTAGCAGCTTGCTTCGCACTGGTGGGAAGGCCGCAACGCGTGACAATTGGTTGTCTGACGGCCCAGTGGGCCGTAATTTGTGATATCGGGGATCAGGGGCTTCCCAGGAGCCAACTCTGAAGGCTCCGTCAAATTGTCGTGTTCGGGGGCGGCCCTAGTCCACCTTGAAGTCGCCCTTGGGGTTCCGATCGCCGTCGTGGGCCGTCTTGGAAGCCATCCTGATCATACCTGGACAGCGGCGTTGGAGACCGCCTGGGAGGCGTAGGGGCGCGCGGGGAGCCTTGGGACGGAGGTGCCGACCAGGGGCTCCAGCAATCCGCAGGATGCGTCACCTGTCGCCCCTGGGCCCGAAGAAGCGGTAACATGAGAGGAATGGATCGCTCAGATTTGACGTCTCCCGGCCCCAGGCTTCGAGCGCCGCAGTATGTGGCATTGCGCGTCCCAAATTCTGCGAAAGCCTGTAACGTCCTAGAGGGCCCAGAGTTTCGTAACATATGTCACCGAGCTTCCCCAGGTCGGGTAATCGTTTTACACACAACAGGTCCCCGCACGAAGACAACGCGAGTAACATGTGACATCTCGAGTCTCCTGGTCAGGAAACGCCGTCCTGTGTGACGTAACGCATGACGCCTCTCTCCCTCAGACCCTAGCCCGAGTAAGCCGTATCATGTGCCACTGCGCGCATTCAGCACGGATAGTGTTTTGAAATGTGCAGTCCCCAGAGGGCCATAACATATGACCCTTGGCCGAGAGAATTGCAACGAGTAATGTTTAACATCCAGGCCTTGTTGTAGGGTCGTGTGGTCGTCCAGGCAGGTCTCGGTGCAGTCTTTCGGGCTCTTGGGGCCGTGCGTCTTGGGACCAGCTCTGGGACGACTAGCAGTTGTCTTGAGGCGGTTTGGCGGCGCGTTGGGGCTGCTTCGGGAGGTCCTTGCATTTTCTTGGGGTCGTCTTGGGGGCTCCAATGCGCCTCTTGGATGCCGTCGGGATGGTCTCATCGGGCGGCTGTTGGGACATCGTTCGGCTTCTAGGATCAGACGAAGAACGGGCGAAGAACACTGACATGTGTGTGTGTATATATATGTGTGTGTGTGTTCAGTTGGTGTTTGGTCTCAGGGGTTTCTTGGAGAGCCCCTTGGAGGCCTTGTGGGGTTTCTTGAGCTCCTTTTGAGCGCTTCGAGGGCACTTATTATTGGGGCCGCGTTGGGAGCTTATCTTGGGTGCGCTGAATGTTACATGGGAGTCGCCTGGGGCGCGCAGGAGCGTTGGCAGGGGAAGGTATGCGGGGGGATGCTACAGAGGGTGGGGGACGCTGGGAGGGTGCCTACAATATGCAAAAGCCTAGCCAGACAGCCCTGGCATAATAATGTGCCACTGTGTGCCACACGAGGGCACGAGGGCGGACATGTTTTCCGTGCATTGGGTAATCACCCAGCTCCATGGCACGAGCCTCACGCCCCCGCAGACCTTCCTGGAGATCTGTTTCCAGGGCGTGGTGCTCCTGGGCGCCCACGCCTTCGCTGCCTTCTTCGTCGCCAGCATGACGCAGGCAATGATATCCCGGACGGATGCCAAGAACCTGCAGATGCAGCAGGCGTTCAGGCGATACACGCGCCGCCGTCGCATCTCCCCCGGGCTCTCGTTCCAGGTGCAAAAGCACCTCGGAAAGCCCAGCGGCAGGACGGCCCTGCAGGACGCCGTGGAGGTGGAGAACAAGCTGGTCGAGTCCCTCCCGCTGGCGCTGCAGCAGCAGCTCCACGAGGAGGCGCTGCGGGAAGGACCAACAAAAAAGATGCCGCAACTCCCTGGACCTCTCCCAGGATGCACTCTGACCAGGATTTCGGGGCGGATCCAGCCGTGGCGGCGGAGTGCCCTCCCAGGAGGCCCAGAAAGTGCGGGACCGAGGGAAGGGCCTCGTAGGCCTGTGCCGTGCCGACGCGGGGGCGACCCCTGCGCGGGCGCTCGCGGCAGAACGCTGCCAGTGTTCTGGAATATCAGGAGGAAAAGAAACACACAGACACAATTAATCTTCGATTCCCTAGAAAATATGGGAAAACATAGGAAGTGGGCGGGAAGACAGAATCCCAGAAAATATGGGAAAATATTGGGAATCATGTTATTTGTGTGTATTTATTTGCGTGTCCTTGGGCCCCTTCAGAATAGGCCGACACTGAAGGATCTTGCGCGACTGGAGAGCTGGAGTCGGTCAAGGTTGAGTGATTCGGGGCTCCAGAGAGGGGGGTGCATGCAAACGAGGATCAGCCAGAGCGCCAGATCTTCCAGGGTCCTGCAGTGCCAGGGGTGCATTCATGATTGACCCGGGCTTGCGTGGACCATCTTGCAAGACCATGCAGGATCCTGGAAGGCCCGACTGAGCCGGGCTTGGTTGAGTGATCCACGCGGTTCGGGCGGGTGGCAACGGGGGGTGACCTACATGGGGGGTGAAGGACAGGGCCTTGAAGGGACCTTTTAGGGCACCTTTAGGGCACCTTTAGGGCACCTTTAGGTCCCCTGCTGGCTCCAAGAGGGGCCCGAAAGGGCCCCTTTAGTGCCCTTTTCTCCACCCCCCATATAGATCACCCACCATTGCCGCCCACCCGAGCGGTGCCAGACATTTCCGCGCAAGTCGGCACGACACTGTGTTGGTATCGCGGTGGTTTCCTGTGAGAGGTGCGCTTGCCATTGCTGAAGCCCGTGCCGTTGTTCCGGCGGGACGGCTTCTCGGACCACCGGTTCTTGAGGCAGCTCTGTTGCAGGGCCATCTCGGGGGTGTCGTTGATCTCTGGGGAGCTGGTGTTCGGGCGACGAGAATTGTGCAAATGCACCCATCCTGGTCAGGCCAATCCTGGGTCCAGGTCGGTGTATATGCCTTCCTGGCCTAGCCAGGACGACGTATGCACCGATCCTGGGCCCAGGATGGACCCGGCCAGAATCGGTGCATGTGTTTAGTTGTCCCTTCTAGGTGTTCAGCCTCGGGGACTCCTGCAAGCGGATGCTTGTGGTCGAGTCTGGCATCGGTGTCTACGTGAAGCTCAGAAGGTCCTTCGGCTCGGGGCGAAGTTTTGTTTTCGCCATCCTCGGGTTCTAGAGGCCCCCTCCCCTCGTGCCAAGGTCCTGCGAGCACTACTCCTTGCGTGGGAAGACGCTGACAAAGTACCACAGGACGAGCTACCAGAGGACGGAGTCCGAAGAGGAGGCGGAACAGGTGGTGCGGCAGCGAGGCCAGCACATCAGCGAGGCCGCATTGTGGGCGCGGTGGACGAACCACGGGGAACTTTTCTCGGAGGGCGTTTGCACGATGCTAATTCTGGACAGCAGCGATTTCGCCTCCGTCGTGAGCGAATACGAGTTCACACGCATATCTGCCCTCAAGTATGCATGTTGCTTCGTCTCGTGGCTGAACGACAGGGCCCGCGAATACCTTCAGTCGGACGTGATGGATACTCCGAAGAACTTGATCGACGAATACATGCAGAAAATGATCAGCGACAGCGCGTTCATCTTCATTTCGCACTACAAGGAAGAGGCAGGGTCGGATGCAGCTCTCATAGAGGAGGGGATGCGGCGGATCATCAAGGAAAACCCCGCACATCCCGCATTCAACCTCAGCAGGCCAGTTTTCCTAGATTCGAACGACCTCCAGGAAACATATCATATCCCGAGCATCATCAGGAGCAGCCACAACGTAGTGCTCCTCCTTACGGACAATGTGCTCACGAGGCCGTGGGTGTTGATCGAGATCGTCACGGCCTTGCGTGCTAGCGTGCCGATCCACTTGGTCACGATCCAGCGCCCCGGTGTGGGCTTCCAATTCCCAAGTGCGGACTCGATCGAGCGCCTCGCGGCTGGCGCTGGCCTGAGCTCGAGCGCTCAGGCGCTCCTGAGGGCGGAGGGCATTACCGCAGAGGACCTGAAGCTCTTAGGCAACGCCTTCCATCGCATAGCGCTGCCTTTCTCCCCACACAAGTCTGCCAACATCCGGGAGGCGGAACTGCTGGACATCATGAATCGTTGCGAGCTCAGCGGCTCCGGGGTCGCATTCCGTTGCCCGACCGACATAATACCCCGGGTCACCGCGCCGCCCGACACGAAGCACCGGGTCAACACGCCACCTTTGCCGAACCGCTCTACGTCGGTTCCTGAAGCGAGCCTCGCCGAGCGTCCTCTGGGGTCAAGACTTCAGTTGTGAGTTTCGTTATGCTGCCGAGTCTTACATTACGCAGTGCCACAAGTGACCAACATGTCGGCCACCAGGCCTCAGATCTTGGCTTCTGGGCCGAACTGCAGTGTTGTGTTCGAAGGGGTCCAAAGTGCAAGCCCGGTTGCCGTTTCGGGGGGGGTCCCTCCCGAGGAACACAACAGGACACTGCCATTGGGCAGCTCGTGAGCCCAGCCCTGATCCTGGCGTGCTGGCGGACTGGTCGGATGGCAGCCTCACGCGGGGACGCCAGCCGCGGCGCCCGCGCTCCGCGCCGGGGCCCGGCCGTGCTGCGGGCCTCGCCGGTGGCGCTGCGCTCCCCGCCCGGCTGCCAGGCCCCCTCGCGCCGTGGCAGAGGTGTCGCGGCCGACAGCTCGTTTGCGCGTCGAGGTGACGCTTTGCAGACGGCCGCGGGGGCCAACCTCGAGTATTTTACACATGGGCTCACGCGTTTTCCACGCAGCGTACGTGCCCGTGTCCCGATTGCTTGAAACCCGTCCAACCTTGCCCAGACACGCTTTTAGCTATGCTGGCCACTCGTGTGCTCGCCTGCATTCCCCTGTTCGGAGTTTGTCCGCCCGCGCGCTCGACCGCGCTCTCAAGGAGGAGGCCCCGCTCCTTCTTTTGATTTTCCACGCGGGCTTCAGGTGGAGCTGGAGCGCGCAGCTTTGTACCAGTAAGTGCGTTCGAAAATACAACGCAATGGATATTGCTGCGTGCTGGACCACCCGCTGTGCTTCGCGCTCGAGGGTTGTGATGCCACTTGTCTTGACTCATCGCGAATCGCAGGCTTAACAGCACGTCGGATAGAGCTGAAAGCGGGTCGAAATGCAAAATCGCATTCCACCCTCTATAGTCGTGATGCGGAGGGGGAGGAGGAGGAGGAGGAGGAGGAGGAGGAGGAGGAGGAGGAGGAAGAGGAGGAGGACCATGGAGGGTATAGCGCGTGGGTGCTACGGCTTCTTTCTCCTCCACCTACATGAGGTCCGCCTCCTCCTCCTTCTCCATGACATGCTGCTGCTCATCCTCTTTCCAATCCTTCCCACCTTTCCCATTAATCCCCATGCTCCTCTCACCCTTTCCTTATCTCTCTCTCTCTCTCTCTCTCTCCCTTTCTCTCTCTCTCTCTCTCTTTTCCTTTCCGTATTCGCCGCTTGACCACCTCATTATACTAATCCTTTTTTCTCCCCGCCTCATCATGCTCCCTGTCTTCCTCCTCCCCGTCCTCCCCGTCCTTCCTCCTCCCCGTCCTCATCTACATCCCCTTCAGCCTCATCATCACCTTCATCGTCGCCAGCACCATCATCACCCCCATCACCATCATCAATATCATCAGCATCCTCATCATCATCAGCAGCAGCAGCATCATCATTCTCATCACTATCACATTATCATCATCATCCTCGCCATTTTGGATCAAGCATTTGCTGAGTCACAGGCCCTCGGGCGCACTTGCGCCCCCGCGCTGCTTGTTGCTGCTCCTTCGCGGTGGCGCTGCGATGGTGTGCTCGGCCAGGCTTGAATTCATCTTGGCCCAACTTAGGCTTGAACGGGAGTGCCGCTGCAGGCTCAACACGCACCCTGGACGGATCGCGGTGCACTTTGTCCTTTTGCCTGTCTGCGCCCCTGATATGTGCAACAGTTTCCCATTCGTTTTGGTTCAATCGTTGTTGATGGCGGTGCCCGAGGCGGTGGCTTTGGATCATGGTCATAGTTCTTCGTCTGGGCAGTCACGCGTGTCGGTCACGCTCAAGACGGTTCTTCAAACGTACGGTGTTGGGGCCGACTTTCCTGGAGGTGCCGATCCTCAGGATGATGCTGGAGCCGCTCATCATGGCGGTGCTGGCCATGCTGTCTGGGTGCTCGCTGATCTCGCAGATCCTGGTCGGCAACCGGCGGGGGCTAAAAGCGTTCATGAAGATGTTGTTCATCATGGAGGTGGAGGAACGGACCACCCTGGTGCTGCAGATGCTCGTAGGGTTCCTGAAGATCTCGATTAACGGTCTGCTCTTGTCGGTCGCTCATGGTGTCCCTGGCTCTCCCGATCGTCGGCCTGCCGATGGCGCTAAAGATCGCGTTGCCTCTGGGGCTCCTGGTGGTGCTAGCGCTCATGATGTGAATGGTTCTGTCGATTGTCGGCCTGGTAAGCGCGAGCTTGGCCAGGCACAGTGGTCCTTGCGATGGGGATGCTCAGAGTCCTGTTGGTGATTCGGATTGTTGGCCTGCTGATGACATTCCTGGAGTTTCTCGTGGTATTCATGGTCGTGCGGACGCTCACGGAGTTTCTGATGTTCTCGATCGTCGGCTTTCTGATGGCGTTAGTGGTTGTCCTGGTCCCTTCGATCGTCGGCCTGCCGATAGCGCTGAAGGGCGCCGCCACTGGGGTTCCTGGTAGTGCTAATACCCATGATGTCCACGGTTTGTTCGATCGTCAGCTGAATAATCGCGATCTTGGCCAGGCTCCCCGTGGTCCTTGCGCTGGGGATGTTCAGAGTCTTCTTGGTGCTTCAGATCGTTGGTTTGCTGATGACATTCCTGGAGATTCTCTTGGTATTCATGGTCGTGCGGACGCTCACGGAGTCTCGGATATTCCTGATCGTCGACCTGCTGATGGCGTTCGTGGTGGCACTGGTACTTCCGATGTCCCTGGCCCCTTCGATCGTCGGCCTGCAGACGGCGATGTTGGCCGGGCTCTTGGTGGACCTTGCGACGGGGACGCGCCGAGTTTTCTTGGTGTTCCTGCTCGTCGGCCTGCCGATGTGGTACTTGTGGTGGTGTTCATGGGAGTGCTGATGCCCGCGGAGTTTCTGGCGTTCCCATCGTCGCCGTGCTGACGGTGTTCGTGACCGTGCTCCTCGTGTGATTTGTGATGTGCCCTCGATCTTCGGCCCGATGGAGGTGTACACGGTGGTGATCGTGGTATTCCTGCTGGTGCGGATGCTCATGGAGGCTCAGGTGGTTCTGCTCGTCGGCCTGCCGGTGGATCTTCAAGTGGACGCGACGGTGCTCATGACCCCCTGCCGGCCTCTGCGCCCCGCAGAAATGCTCGTGGAGAAGACGGCGACGACGTGGACTTTTCCGAGGTTCCTGCTTTCCCGACCCGCGCCGAGTCTGGCGCAGGGCAGCTATAAATATGTTCATGCACAAGCCGTGCACGGATGCTACAGCGATGGCCTCTTCCGATGCGCTCGCCACGTATTTTGGCAAGCTAGATGCCTCGAGCAGCCACCTGCGCGCATACTTTCGCCTTCCTCAGCTAGCTCGGCCAATCCTGCATCGCAGAGCCCCGCGCACGCGCGGCGCAACTTTGCAGAGGTAGCGGCACAGCAGCGACTGCGGCGGACGTCCTCGCGGCGCTCAGGGCCGAAGGCGCCGGGGCCGAGACAAGGACGAAACCAGACTCGCAGATGAGGAGGCAGGGCGCCGACAAAAGCAGGTCATCATCATTATTGTCATCATCACACTTCGGCAAGCAGCTGACCGGCGCCTCCTTCGCCGCGGAGCCCCGCCCGCGTTGGGCCGCGCCGCTCGACTGGAGCTCGGCGCCGGCGCCCTCCACCTACCACGTCGAGAGTTTCCTCGAGCACGCGACCGATTCGAGCCCTGGCCCCGACAGTCTCGCCTAATCCTCCCGGCCGCACGCAGGCGACTGGGCCACGGAGACATTGTTTCAAATCGCCCTCCACATGTTCGCCGTTCCCCCGACGTCGCCCACCTTCAGCATGTCCGAGCCCATCTTCCTTCCGAAAGGCTCTCAGGCCCGCGACGCCGCTGAGGTCGTCTGGGAGCCGGGAGACACCGGGCCGCCGGGCCTCAACGGCACCGACAACAAAACCTGCCGCGGCATGGCAAACGCCATGCTGCGGGGCGTCGCGTCCAAGGGCGCCTCCTCCATCCGGCGGGGCTTCGCTGCTCGGCGTCTGCTGGCCCAGAACAGCATCGGCCTCGATGGCGCGCACCGCTCGAACGCACGGCGAGCGCCAGTCCTAGCCTTCCGGGACACAGCTGCTGCGCTCCCCAGCCCGCGGCACAGCTGGACTCGGGTTTCTTTCGAGGCTGGCGGAACGCAGCGCGGCATCCCAGCTCTCTCCCAGGGCGTGCACCACCGCGCCGCAGCTTTCATCTCAGGTGCGTCCGCCCACGTAATCGGGGGCGGTTCTTCGCGGGGCTGCCCTTTCAGCAGTTTCTCTTGCGCCGCGTCGACGCGCCCCTTCGCGGCGAGAATGCGACGCGCCGTCGACCTGAAAGGCCTCGGCACCACGCGCATCTGCGCGGGCGATTCGGGCGCCGCGACCCTCGAGCTCAGCGCACTGGGGAGTATGCCAACACGTTCAACTACGCGCAGAAGCGCGCCGGCCTCCAGATGAAACCCCGAAAATGCAAATTGATTCCTCTCTACGCGGCGCTCGTGCTCCAGATGATCGGGTCGGCCCAGGACCGGCAGCAGGCGATCGCCCCCGCGCGGGCTCAGTTCGCCATCGCGAAGGCTGCGTTCCGACCTACCTCGGGCATCTCATGGGCCCCGACGTCACACGTCACAGGCGAGACGCGGGAGGCCTCCGCGAGAAGCGAGCAGACGCACACTCCAAGGCCAAGGGCTCCACCACCACCTCGCTCAAGGAGTGCAACGACAAGACTGTTCCCAAAATTCTGCGCGTTGCCCAATGCGGACTTCCGCCGCGCGCTCTCGTGCAAACCGAGAACGGCATCGTCGACGTGCTCTGGCACGTGACGCCGTCAACTTTCACCGCTCGTGGGATGGCGCGAGCGTCCAATTTCGACGCCGTCGACGTCGTCTCTGCCCTCTGGCCTGCGTGGCCTCGTTGATCCGCGCTGCGCTTACTATGCTGGACTGGAAGAAGCCGCTGGCCGAGTTTCGTCGCGCCGTCCATCGCGCTGCTCTGGACCGTTCTCTCGCTGCCCCCCCATCGCCGGCGTCCGCGGGCCCCGCGCTGGAAGACGCCAGGATTTCTATAAACTCTCGAGCGCGTCGCTACGACGCAGCCACTGCCCGTCTCCAAAGACCGTCAGAGAGCCACGGCAGCCGCCGTCAACGAGATCACAGAGAAACCGGGCTCGAAGAAAGGCGTGCAGAGAAGTGTTTCTTTGATGCTCAAAAAGATGACAGACTTCTTGGGGCCTCCAGAGGGTTCCCGGGACCTCCGCGGAGGCCTCGGGATAGAATCTCGGGAGCGGCGGTGGCGTTCCAAGTGTGGAGTGCGCAGTGGGCCACAGCGGGGGGCGGTTGGCGCATTGGGCCCAGTCGTCCGCCGCATGGCATCCAAACGCCGGTGACGAGATCTCTCATCCATCCTCGCGCCGGTCGTCCACCCACCCATCCAAATTTTCAGGTACGAAGAAAAGATACGAATGCGAGTAGTAGTAGTCGAACGCGACGAGATCTTCATCTTGGCAACTCGGGCGCCGCAGTCGATGCCGTTAATGTCGCTAGCATGCTCCTCCTGGGCTAGCCACATTGCTAGAACGGAGAAGTACGATGAAGCGCGTCGGGTGGAGAAGGGACTCAGGGAAATGCATGTCGACTATCGGGATAAGGTGGAGGAGTGGCTCGTGAAAGGACGACAGGGACACTGCAGACATCTTAGGATCTTGAGGTGAAAGCAAATGCTGATCAGAGATATTGGTAAACACGCGAGAGCGGGAGCGCTAAGTCATGAGTGCTGGGAGTTAGGTATTTATTTTGTGTTTCGTAGTAGTCCTGTAAATCCCCCGATTGACAACGAGGCGGTTTTTCCTTCTTACACTTCTGCCACCCAGAGAGTCAGGACAGCAGGCATCTCAACCTCATCACCATCACCATCATCACCATCATCACCATCATAATCACCGTCATTACCATCATCTTCGCCTGGACAGGAGAGACTTCAGGTGGCTTCGCCCCACCTGAATCCCATACTGGGTTCGTTCCGTCTGCCTTTCGCCCTTTTTGATTTATCTTTCTGCACTGGCACCGATCCGTGCCCTGTCGACAATGGATGAGTTCCCGCGACGGGAGCCTGATCGAAACCTCACCCCGGGCCTCGAGACATCCGCCACAGTAGCCAACCCCTGTCAGACCTTGACGGGGGATGTCTTCTTGCAGTTGGAGTTGCAGGCGTTGTTGTTTTTGTTCTGCTCCCTTGGCTGAGCGTGGAAGGGGGGGGGGTCATGCAGCTGGGGGGTGCAGAAGGGGGCTGTTTCCGTGCCCGCGCTCTCCGGCCGCCGTTCTCCGCCACGTGCTGAGCTCGCACGGCGGGTTGCCCGAAACTTGCCTTCAGATATTTGTTGCGCATGTGAAAAGGAGGGTCGATGCCGCGGTGACCGGTCAGCCTTTCGCTCAGTCGCGGCGGCGTGCGCAGGCGTGGCGACAGGCTGACTGCGGAGCTATTGCAGGCACCGGTCTTCGGTGCAGCCTTGCCCGCGCGCCGCGGGTTTCCGATGATGAGCCTGGATCGGGCCTGCGGCCGCCTCTGCCCCGCGCCTCCAAAGCGCCGAGCCGAGGGGGGCAACAGGGTTTCGGAGTATCAGTCGTGGGCTGAGGTGCTGATCCTCCGAGGTGCGTTTCTTCCTCACTTGATTCGGCAATCTCGCGCGCGGAACTTTGCCCCATGTGGGGCATTCGCTGTTGATGGAGTATCTTCGTTATTGTCGTGGCCTCGGTATTGCCATTCGCCCGCTGGGAAGTCATCGTTAACACCATCATCATCAGCATCATCAGCACCATCATCATCACCACCATCGTCATCATCACCATCGTCATCAGCAGACCATCATCATCATCACCATCATCATCATCATCATCATCATCATCACCAGCATCACCAGCATGACCATCATCGTCATCATCATAAATCAGAATCATCCTCATCGCCATCGTCTCATCATCATCACTATCATCATTGTCCTCCTCCCCACCCACCTCCTCCTCCTCTTCCTATTCTCCGCCAGCCCCCCCGTTGATGCCCTGAACCATGCCTGCTCCTGTAGGGCTGCTCGCTCGGCTCACTTGGGGATCCGCCCGAGCATGGCGAAGTGTCGGCTGGCGCCTCGTTGGCGGGCGCCCCGTGGGTGCCCCGCGTTTGGAGGGGCATGTCGGAGTTTCAACTGTTGTCACCACCCACCAGACTACCCCAACCCAACCCGAAGGCCCAAATTTATCCTCGATTTCCAGTAGGGGGGGGGGGGGGGCGGGGAACATAAAAAAAAAAAAAAAATGAAACCCGTACCCCCCCAAGCCGAAATTCGGGTCAAATTCGGGTCTTCGGGTTGGGTTGGGGTGGTCTGGCAGGTAGTCACGTTGACCGCCCGCGGGAGCGTCGTCGGCGCCCCGCGCCGGGGTGGTGTGTCGGCACTTCGGCTGGCGACTGCACGCGGGCACCGCGCGGGCGCCCCGTGCTTGGGGGGGGCACGTTGCGGTTTCGCCCGGCGCCCGCCCGCGGGCGCCTCGCAGGCGCCCTGGCAGCCTGCACCACGCAGATTTGCACCACACAAGTTGCACCATTCGGCTTGCACCATGTAGCCTGCACCACGTACTCTGCACCACGTCGTTTACACCGCCGAGCTTGGACCACGTAGATTGTACCACATAGCTGCCACCACGTACGTAGCTTGCGCCATGTAGACTGTACCACGTCGACTGCACCACATAGCTTTATATCCAAAAATTTACACCACGTAGCTTGCACGACGTACGCTGCATCGCACACTTACACCACCTAGCTTGCACCTCGCAGATTGCACCACATAGTTCGCACCACGTAGCTCATGACGCAGTTTGCAGCACATAGCGCGCACCACATAGCTTGCATCACCTTGGTGGAACCACACGGATCACAGCACATAGCCCGCACCACGATGTCAACACGATTTATATTGCACCACATAGTTCATGCCACCTAGCTTGCACCACGTAGATTGCACCACGTAACTTATAACACGTATTTGCCACCCCATCAGTTGCACGATTTAGCTCGCCCCGCGCATTTTGCACCACATAGATTACTCCACAGCGTTTGCACCACACGTCTTGAACAACATATATTGCACCACATAACTTGAACCACCTTGCTTGCACCACATTGGTTGCCCAACGTTGTTGCACGACGTAAGTCGCACGACATAGCTTATACCGCATAGATTTCACCGCGTAGGTTGCACCAAATAGCTTTCACTGCGTAGCCTGCAACACCTAGACTGCGCCACACATAGTTGACACGACCTAGTTGCACCACGCAAAATGCACCACCTAGCTGGCAGCACTTACCTTCCACCACAAAGCTCAGCCAACGGTGATCGCACCACGCCGATTGCACCACCCAGTTTGCACCCCCCCCCCCCCAGCGTGCACCAATCATATTGCACCACAGTAGCTTGCACCACATCGCCTGCACCACGCCGAGTGCACTACATAG